GGGAGAATGCAACTTGCCTAAGGTCACCCACAGTAGAGTAGGGAACTCTCCAACACTCAAACCATTACACCACACTGACTCTCAAAAATCCATACTAGGACAAAGAAACAATGATCTAAATACAGTAGAGTCTCACTTATCCCACCTTTGCTCACCCAGCGTTTGGTATTATCCAACACAGTCTGTCTCCTACCCGTATCCACAACGGTTTCAATACATTGCAATGTTTTGGTGCTAAATTCGTAAATACAGTAATTACTACGTTAATGTTATCATAAATTGAATTGCTTTTTCTGTTGCTTTGAATAAAACATGTTTTGGTGCTTAATTTGTAAAATCATAACTTAATTTGACGTTTAATAGGCTTTTTCTTAATCCCTCCTTATTATCCAACATTTTCCCTAATCCAACGTTCTGCCAGCCCATTTATGTCAGATAAGCAAGTCTCTGCTGTAATATAATATAATATAATATAATATAATATAATATAATATAATATAATATACTCCAGCAAAGGATCACCGCCTTGTCGGGGCGCTGGAGCTTGAGCACCTCAATGATGTCATGAGCGAAACCGTGAAGGGCCACCCAAGACGGGACGGTTGTGGCAGAGAGGTCAGACCCAGCGTGATCCCTGGGGAAGGCAATGGCAAACCACTCCAGTATCCTTGCCAAGAAAACTAAATGGACCAGTACAACCAGAGATATGTCGGTATGCCATTGGAAGATGGGACTCCCAGGTCGGAAGATGGCCAAAATGCTACTGGGGAGGAGCAGAGGATAAGTTCAACTAGCCCCAGATGTGATAACGCAGCTAGCTCAAAGCCGAAAGGAAGGCTAGCGGCCGACGGTACTGGAGGTGAACGACGAATCCGATGCTCTAAAGATCAACACACCATAGGAACCTGGAATGTAAGATCTATGAGCCAGGGCAAATTGGATGTTGTTATTGGTGAGATGTCAAGACTAAAGATAGACATTCTGGGGGTCAGCGAACTGAAATGGACTGGAATGGGCCACTTCACATCAGATGACCACCAGATATACTACTGCGGACAAGAGGAACATCGAAGAAATGGAGTAGCCTTCATAATTAATAAGAAATTCGCTAAAGCGGTGCTTGGATACAACCCAAAAAATGACAGAATGATCTCAATTCGAGTGCAAGGAAAGCCTTTCAACATTACAGTGATCCAAATATATGCCCTAACCACAGCTGCTGAAGAAGCAGAAGTAGATCAGTTCTATGAGGATCTGCAGGACCTACTGGATAATACACCAAAAAGAGACATTATTTTCATTACAGGAGACTGGAATGCCAAGGTGGGAAGTCAAATGACAACAGGGATCACAGGTAAGCATGGTCTGGGAGAACAAAATGAAGCGGGACGCAGGCTGATAGAATTTTGCCAGGAAAACTCGCTGTGTATAACGAATACTCTCTTCCAACAACCTAAAAGACGGCTTTACACATGGACCTCTCCACACGGTCAACACCGAAATCAGATTGACTACATCCTTTGCAGCCAAAGGTGGCGGACATCCATCCAGTCGGTGAAAACAAGACCTGGGGCTGACTGTAGCTCAGATCACGAACTTCTTATTGCCCAATTTAGAATAAAACTAAAGAGCTCAGGGAAAATACACAGACCAGTTAGATATGATCTCACTAACATTCCTAGCGAATATACAGTGGAAGTGAAGAACAGATTTGAAGGACTAGATTTAGTAAACAGAGCCCAGAAGAACTATGGACAGAAGTCCGAGACATTGTTCAGGAGGCGGCAACAAAGTACGTCCCAAAGAAAAAGAAACCAAGAAGGCAAAATGGTTGTCTGCTGAGACACTGGAAGTAGCCCAAGAAAGGAGGAAAGCAAAAGGAAACAGGGATAAGGGGAGATATGCCCAGTTAAATGCGCAATTCCAGAGGTTAGCCAGAAGAGATAAGGAACTATTTTTAAATAAGCAATGCATGGAAGTGGAAGAAGACAACAGAATAGGAAGGACAGAGACCTCTTCCAGAAAATTAGAAACATTGGAGGTAAATTTCAGGCAAAAATTGGTATGATAAGAAACAAAGATGGCAGGAACCTAACAGAAGCTGAAGAGATCAAGAGAAGGTGGCGAGACTATACAGAAGATCTGTATAGGAAGGATAATAATATTGAGGATAGTTTTGACGGTGTGGTGAATGAATTAGAACCAGACATCCTAAGGAGTGAGGTTGAATGGGCCTTAAGAAGCATTGCTAACAACAAGGCAGCAGGAGACGACGGGATCCCAGCTGAACTGTTTAAAATCTTAAAAGATGATGCTGTCAAGGTGATGCATGCCATTTGCCAGCAAATATGGAAAACACAAGAATGGCCATCAGACTGGAAAAAATCAACTTATATCCCCATACCAAAAAAGGGAAATGCAAAGACTGCTCAAACTTCCGTACAGTGGCCCTTATTTCTCATGCCAGTAAGGTAATGCTCAAGATCCTGCAAGGAAGACTCCAGCAATACATGGAGCGAGTTACCAGATGTTCAAGCTGGGTTTAGAAAAGGTAGAGGAACGAGAGACCAAATTGCCAATATCCGCTGGATAATGGAGAAAGGCAGGGAGTTTCAGAAAAACATCTACTTCTGCTTCATTGACTATTCTAAAGCCTTTGACTGTGTGGATCATAATAAATTGTGGCAAGTTCTTAGTGGGATTGGCATCCCAAGCCACCTTGTCTCTCTCCTGAGGAATCTGTACAAGGACCAAGTAGCAACAGTCAGAACTGACCACGGAACAACAGACTGGTTCAAGATTGGGAAAGGCATACGGCAAGGCTGCATCCTCTCACCCAACCTTTTTAACTTGTATGCAGAACACATCATGCGATGTGCGGGGCTGGATGAATGCAAAGCTGGGGTGAAAATTGCTGGAAGAAACATTAACAACCTCAGATATGCAGATGACACCACTCTGATGGCCGAAAGCGAGGAGGAGCTGAGGAGCCTTCTAATCAAGGTAAAAGAAGAAAGCGCAAAAGCCGGGTTGCAGCTAAACGTCAAAAAAACCAAGATTATGGCAACAAGAATGATTGACAACTGGAAAATAGAGGGAGAAACCGTGGAGGCCGTGACAGACTTTGTATTTCTAGGTGCAAAGATGACTGCAGATGCAGACTGTGGCCAGGAAATCAGAAGACGCTTACTTCTTGGGAGGAGAGCAATGTCCAATCTCGATAAAATAGTAAAGAGTAGAGACATCAGACAGGCAACAAAGATCCGCCTAGTCAAAGCCATGGTATTCCCTGTAGTAACCTACGGATGTGAGAGCTGGACCTTAGGGAAGGCTGAGCGAAGGAAGATCGATGCTTTTGAGCTGTGGTGTTGGAGGAAAGTGCTGAGAGTGCCTTGGACTGCGAGAAGATCCAACCAGTCCATCCTCCAGGAAATAAAGCCCAAATGCTCACTGGAGGGAAGGATACTAGAGACAAAGTTGAAGTACTTTGGCCACATCATGAGGAGACAGGAAAGCCTAGAGAAGACAATTATGCTGGGGAAAGTGGAAGGCAAAAGGAAGAGGGGCCGACCAAGGGCAAGATGGATGGATGGCATCCTTGAAGTGACTGGACTGACCTTGAGGGAGCTGGGGGTGGTGACGGCCGACAGGGAGCTCTGGCGTGGGCTGGTCCATGAGGTCACGAAGAGTCGGAGACGACTGAACGAATGAACAACAACAATATAATATAATATAATATAATATAATATAATATAATATAATATAATATAAGGAATTTATTACCCGCCTCTCCCTGCGGCACAATATAAAGTTGTTTAAGATTAGATGCAGAAGGAAGAAAATGTGGGAGAGGGTTAGCAAGACTTGGTCTTTCTCTCGGAAGATTTCTGTGGTGGTTTTATCATTAAACAGAATTGCTTAGATAGCTGCAATAATATGGAATTGTATTAGCCAAACTCTGATTAATAAAGTAACAGTTGTCAAGGAGACACCTTCAAGACTCACACCAACACTTGCTAGCCCTTTGAAACAATTGCCACCCACTATCATAGCAAAATCTTGACCAAAGGAGGGGTGGAGGAGGAGATAATAAAATAGCTAGGAGGAATAAAAGCAAACTAAGAACAGAGATGGTGGAGAAACCAGTAACCCTATAGGGCAAGAGCAATAGGAGAGTAATAAAATCGCCCAAACAAGAAAGAATTGAAACCTCAAGAGATTGAAAGCAATGGAAAATCTAATTACAATGAACATAACTCAGATTCTGAGAGCCCTTGAGGAATTGGAAGGGCTTTGGATCTACTGGCTCCAAAGCGATCTGTACCCCATCTTTGCAATAAAGGCCTGTTGTAGGGATTGATACCAGGTAGTACTGACAGGACACAAACTAATGAATCAGTGCTCAGAAAAATTAATTGTTTTTGGCTAAGACTTCCAGAATAACTAATGAAGTACAGCCAATGGAAAATCACAGAATTAGAAGAGACCTCATGGGCCATCCAGTCCAACCACCTGCCAAGAAGCAAGAAAATCATATTCTAAGCACCCCTGACATATGGCCATCTAGCCTCTACTTAAAAGCCTCCAAAGTAGGACCCTCCACCACACTCTGGGGCAGAGAGTTCCACAGGTGAACAGTTCTCACAGTCAGGAAGTTCTTCCTAATGTTCAGGTAGAATCTCATTTCCTGTAGTTTGAAGCCGTTGTTCCACATCCTAGTCTCCAAGGCAACGGAAAACAAGCTTGCTCCCTCCTCCTTATGACTTTCCCTCACATATTTATACATGGCCCTCATCATGTCTCCTCGCAGTCTTCTCTTCTTCAGGCTAAAGGTGCTCAGCTCTTTCAGCCGCTTCTCATAGGGCTTGTTCTCCAGACCCTTGATCATTCTGGTAACATTTTTAAGATACAGTTGCAAAGGACCTCCACCATAAGCACATGCACATATATCCCATGACCCAATGTGAAGATTGTTCTGTCTCTGGCAGTTTTGCACTTACCTAATCTGAGAAGTATGTTTGATACCTCCGCTAACTTGCCCCCGGGAACAGGCACACTGTGTTCGGGCTTGTTCCAGCCAATGCCAGCCCGCATAAGCCGGGAGTGGATGAAGTCTCTGCAAAGCACCTTGGCCTGAGACACAAGCTCCTTGTCGGTGGGCGTCCGGTCGAATACTTCCATCACCTCCGCAGCAAAGACAGAGGAGCGGCGCAGTACATCCATCTTCATCACCTGGTTCCCAACATGGAGGGTGGGGCTGGCATGAGGAATTCCTTGGTGGGGATGCCTTCAGAGGAACCCACAGCTGGAGAGTGAATCACTGTGATTTCCGTTCAGTGCCTCCCTGGCTGCAGATGCTGTTTTTGGCTACCTAGTTGACAAAGAAGACCAAGAAAATCAATAAATTAAGAGTAGGGAGATTTTTATCTAACCTTCATTACTTATTAACCACAGTTGATGCCAGCTTTAGAAGTTAGTGTTTTCTTTTATTGCAGAAAGTGGCTTACAGCAAGTTCCTAGCTTACTTTACTCAAAATCAGTCTTCTCTTGTGTCTTGTCGAAGGCTTTCATTGCCAGAATCACTGGGTTGCTGGGAGTTTTCCAGGCTGTATGGCCATGTTCCAGAAGCAATCTCCTGACATTTCACCCATATCTATGGCAGGCATCCTCAGAAGTTGTGAGGTCTCTTGGAAACTAGACAAGTGAGGTTTATATATCTGTGGAATGTCCAGGGTGGGAGAAAAAAACTCTTGTCTGTTTGAGGCAAGTGTGAATGTTGCAGTTGGTCACCTTAATTAGCATTCAATGACCTTGCAGCTTCAAAGCCTGGCTAGGTGCTTTTTTTTTTGTCGTGTCAGGAGCGACTTGAGAAACTGCAAGTCGCTTCTGGTGTGAGAGAATTGACCGTCTGCAAGGACGTTGCCCAGGGGATGTTTTACCATCCTTGTGGGAGGCTTCTCTCATGTCCCCGCATGAGGAGCTGGAGCTGATAGAGGGAGCTCATTCACGCTCTCCCCGGATTCGAACCTGCGACCTGTTGGTCTTCAGTCCTGCCGGCACAGGGGTTTAACCCACTGTGCCACTGGGGGCTCCTAGGTGGCTAGGTGCTGACTGGGGGCTTTGTTGGGAGGTGTTAGCTGGCCCTGATTGATTATTGTCTGGAATTCCTGTTTTTTGAATGTTGATTTTTATTTACTGTCCCACCCTGGACATTCCACAGATATATAAACCTCACTTGCCTAGTTTCCAACAGACTTCGCAACCTCTGAGGATGCCTGGCACAGATGTGGGTAAAACGTCAGGAGAAAATGCTTTTGGAATATGGCCATTCAGCCTGGAAAACACATAGCAACCCAAGGACCTTCCATGCAGCCCTATAGTCCAGAAAATCAAGGCAGAAAATCCCACAATATCTGCTTTGAACTGGGCTATCAGAGTCCACACTCAGATAATGTGGGATTTTCTGCCTTAATATTCTGGGATATAGGGCTGTGTGGAAGGGCCCCCAGTCTCCTTTCTGTTCCCGGGGGCTTAATCTGCTATAAGCATAATGAGAATTACAGCTTTACTGTCTCTTGTGAAAACAAAAGAAAAATCAGAAACAGAAGTAAATGCCCCAGAATTCAAATAACATCTATTCGGAACGTCCTGCAAAAACAATCAGGGATGTCAACAGAAGTTCCCCAACTCTAAACTCTCTTTTTTTCCAGGCCCTTTTGAAAATAAGCAAGGAGGTGAATAAATGTTCATGAGACCAAGCAATAAGAATGGGGAAGTTGCACTGAGAGCCAGCCACTCTGATCAAGTTTTCTGCAACGCAAGCACAAAGGAACATCAAATCCAGGCAGCAGCAATGCCAGCGAGAAATGCACAAATCAAATCACATTGCCCATTCAGCCCCAAGGAATGCAGTTTGACATCGCTGTCACTGCCATGACTCAATGGTAGAGAATGGCGAGAGTTGTGGTTATACAAGGTCTTTAACTTTCTCTTCCAATGAGTGTTGGTGCCTCCCAAAACTACAACTCCCACAATTCCATAACATCGAGCCATGATAATTCAAGTGATGTCAAACTGCATTGATTATGTAATGTAGATTCAACCTAAGAAGCAGGGATCTTGCCTTACTTTATATATGCAGCGTCTTCACACAACCTGCTTTATTGACAAACAAAATCACACCAGACTTCACTGTGCAGTGCTGGGGAGAGGGTCGATCTCCTTAGTGGTAAATAATATCCACTAGTATTCATGCAAGGCAATTAGGGTTCTCAGCTGTTAGACTGATATACCTAGATATCTCTTTGAACTGTTAGGAACTAAGATATGCTAATGCACAAAAAACGTATATAGCAGATGTGTTGTCAAAGGCTTTCATGGCCAAAATCACTGGGTTGCTGTGAGTTTTCCGGGCTGTGTGGCCATGTTCCAGAAGCATTCTCTCCTGACGTTTCACCCACATCTATGGCAGCCATCCTCAAGGTTGTGAGGTCACAATAATCTCACAACCTCTGCAGATGCCTGCCATAGATGTGGGCGAAACATCAGGGGAGAATGCTTCTGGAACATGGCCTCACAACAACCTTTTCTGCTTTATGCAAAGAGACAGCGAGTTCCTGACCTTCCCTAAAAGTAGCAAGTTATTATTCTCCATGCTGTTTCTCAAATATTATTCCTTGCAAAATCACAACACAGCCTCTCTCTTCACTCCCAGCACTGAAATGTAATTCATTTTGCAGACTCCAAGTATTCCAAACAAAACAACCTGTGGGTCACTGAGACAGAGGAGGAAAGCAATGGGGAAGAGGATGAAGTCTTCGATCCAGTCCCTGACAGCCCCAGTTTAAATGTGCAGACCAGACAGACCCATGCCTGAACCTCCAGAGAGCCAGTTAAGACAGGACTGGGCAGGAGGGGGAGAGGAATCTGACCAAGAACAAGATAATATCAGTTGCAGTATGCCACATCATAGACCCCTTCTACAGTGCCGTATAATCCAGATTTTCAAAGCAGGATATCTACATTATCTGCTTTGAACTGGATTATATGAGTCTACACTGTCAGAGAATCCAGTTCAAAGCAAATAATTTGTATTTTATATTAGAGTATAGAAGGGGCCATAGGTTGCAAGGAAGACTGTCACATTTTGTTGTCGAAGGCTTTCACCCCTGGAATCACTGGGTTGCAGTGAGTTTTCTGGAATGTATGGTCATGTTCCAGGAGCATTCTCTCCTGATGTTTTGCCCACATCTATGGCAGGCATCCTCAGAGATTGTGAGGTCTGCTGGAAATTTATATATCTGTGGAATATCCAGGGTGGGAGAAAGAACTCTTGAGGCAAGTGTGAATGTTGCAATTGGCCACCTTGATTAATGGCCTTGCAGTTTCAAAGCCTGGCTGCTTCCTGCCTGGGGGAATCCTTTGTTGGGATATGTTAGCTGGCCCTGATTATTTCCTGTCTGGAATTCATATGTTTCTTTGAGAGTTTCTCTTTATTTACTGTCCTGATTTTAGAGTTTTTTAAATACTGGTAGCCAGATTTTGTTCATTTTCATGGTTTCCTCCTTCCTGCTGAAATTGTCCACAGGCGTGTGGATTTCAATGGCTTCTCTGTGTAGCCTGACATGGTGGTTGTCAGAGTGGTCCAGCATTTCTGTGTTCTCAGCTAATATCCTGTGTCCAGGTTGATTCATCAGGTGCTCTGCTTTAGCTGATTTCTCTGGTTAAATTAGTCTGCAGTGCCTGAGCAATGCTGTTTCTGGTGGTCCTTACATAGACTTTTCCACAGTTGCATGGTATGCAGTAGACTCCTGCACAAGTGAGAGGATCTCTTTTGTCCTTTGCCAAACAGATAAACCTCACTTGCCTAGTTTCCAACAGACCTCACAACCTCTGAAGATGCCTGCCACAGATGTGGGTGAAACATCAGGAGAGAATGCTTCTGGAACATCGCCATTCAGCTTGGAAAACTAACTCACAGCACAACCCAAGATGGTCACATATTTCCAAGAACCTTTTTTCCCCTCCACCAAAGCCGATATTGGAAAAAAATGCCTTGGTCTTATTTATTTATTTATTTCAAATATTTGTACCCCACCCTTCTCTACCCCCGAAGGGGGACTCAGGGCGGCTTACAGCCGGCAACAATTCAATGCCCCCCAAATACAAACAATTCAATGCCCAAACACATAAAGCAACAGTTACATAATAAGTAAAACATTAAAATTAGATTAAAACCATTTAAAATAGTGCAAATTGAATTAATTGTCCACGTCTAAGTCTGAGTTCTACAATCAACAACTTAATCCAAAGCCTGTCCATAGTCCATTTTCCATAGCATTATCATCATTGTTATTGTCAACCTACTATCCGAATTCCTGGTCCCATAGCTACGTCTTCAATGTTTTCCTGAAGGAAAGGAGGGAATCCGTTGACCTAATTTCATTGGGGAGTGAGTTCCATAGGCAGGGGGCCACCACCGAGAAGGCTGTCTCTCGTTCCCATCAAGCGCGTTTGCGACAAAGGTGGGAACGAGAGCAGGGCCTCCCCAAAAGATCGTAAGTTTCGAGGTGGGATGTAGGGGGTCTCAGAACAATTAGTGCAACCTCAAGCCACCACCAAGAAGGCTCTGTCTCTCGTCCCCACCAAGTGTGTTTGCGACGAAGGTGGGATTGAGAGCAGGGCCTCCCTAGAACATCTTAAGTTTCAAGGTGGGACGCAGGGGGTCTCTGGACAATTAGTGCAACCTCAAGCACGTAAACATTACCTACACACCTTTCTTCAATGAGGTCGCAAGGCAACCATTTTAATGGGATTTCCAACAAGTTAACTTTCACCTTTGGGCATTTATTGAAAGAGGCTCCAAAGGATTTCTCTCAGGATGCATCTGCACCAGGTATGGGCAAACTTGGGCCCTCCAGGTGTTTGGACTTCAACTCCCACCATTCCTATCTGCCTCAGGCCCCTTCCTTTTCCCCCTCAGCCGCTTAAGTTGTTATGAATGGTGGGTGTTGAAGCCCAAAACACCTGGAAAGCCCAAGTTTGCCCATACCTGGTGTAGATGCACCCCCAATGCATATAGACATAGAATGGATGCAGTCTGACACCACTTGAACATGGCTCAATGTTATGGAATGCTGGGAGTTTCAGTCTAGTGAAGCATTGCCACTCTTGCACAGAGAAGGCTACAAAGACCTTGTGAAACTGTAACTCCCCAAATGGCATTGAGCAATGCAAGTTAAAGTGGGGTCAAGCTGCCTTCATTCTATCTTAGATGCACCCTCAACGAGAGAAGAGGGCAAACTGGGGAATGGGCACCGTGGAGTGCTGCCCATCTCTTTACCTGCTTGGGGCATTTCCACGCTCTGGCTGCGTGGGGAAAAAAGCCAGCCTCTTCTCTTCCTTTCCCTTCCCTGCGACGGAGAGGATTGATTTGCCTGCCCGCCTCCAGCCTCCTCTGCTCTTCTCTTCGCCTCGCCTCCTCCTCCTTCTTCTCCTCCCGCTGCTGCTTCTAGATCTGGCTCCACTTCTCCTCCGGAGGGAAGGAAGGAGGGAGGGACCCGCCTGGCTGTGGCCTTGTAAGGCAAGGGATCCCACGCGAGGGAGGAGGAGCCGGGCCTCCCACTCACTCACTCGCCCGTCCCTCTGCCTGCCCTTAAGGAGACACTGCTGGCCTCCTAGCCAGAGGAGAATGCCCAAGAAGAGCATGCTGAGAGCAGGATGCCCACGGTGACTTACGTACCTTCCCATTCCTAGACCATGCATCTCCACACTGTGGAATCTTTGCAGTTTGTCACCACTTGAACTGCCAAGGCTCAATGCTGTGGAATATTAGGAGGGTCGAATGAAAAGTAATGCCTCCACCCAGGCCCGTAGCCAGGATTTCGATTGGGGGGGGGGGGGGTGAGTTTGTTTCGGGGGGGCTGAGTCTGAGTGAAAGAGGGTCTACCCTAGCAAACCTTTTGTATCCTTACCCCAATACCCCCATGCATATGGCATATATTGAGTATGGTGATCAGATCATGATATGAATAAACATAACAATTTAAATAATGCACCAGAGAATTTCGGGGGGGGGGCTGAAGGCCCCCAACCCCCCCCCCCGGCTACATGCCTGCCTCCACCATCATTACTTGGGTTTGGATGGGAATATTTTAATAAATCAAACACAGAAATAATCCTTAAATCCCTTGGGGGGGGGGGTCGCGAGGGGGTATCAGAGGGATAGCAAAAGACCATCAGAAAACAGTACTTTCTGTTGGTCATGGGGGTTCTGTAGGGGAACTTTGGCCCAATTCTATCATTGGTGGGGTTCAGAATGCTCTTTGGTTGTAGGTGAACTATAAATCCCAGCAACTACAACCAGGCCTGTAGTCATTGGGAGGGGGGGGGGTTAGGGGTTCAACCCCCCCCCCCCGAAATTTGTCAGGTTAAAAAAACAACTGGTTTACTCATGAATTTTAATTGGTTAACCCAATCCCCATGCTAAGTCTATGAGACGCAAAAAATTAAGAGTCTCCAGAACTGCAAGCACTATCTCAAGCAAATATTGACAATTTATTCACACTGTCATTACTTGCAGCAATAGCCGATGTAGCGAAGCAACCAAGTTGGGGGGGGGGTGTTGAATGCTCTCATTAAGGAGGCCAGACTTGGTGGAGGTGGTTGACAGGGGCGGAGCTGCAGGCTATTGAAGGCTGCTCTGCCCCCTGCTGTGCTCTTTGCTTCAGCGTGAGCTAGGAGGCAGGTTTCAACCCCCCTCCCTGTGAAATTTTCAACCCCCCCCCCCCCAATTTTCAACCCTCCCCGAATTTTTTTTCTGGCTACGGCCCTGCCTACAGATCCCCTCCCCTGTTGTCTTGAAGATCTGGACGAACTTTTGCTGGGCTCCTTCCTCTGCTGCCCAGGAAGATGCAATATCTCCAGTTAAGTCAAGTCACGGTCAAAAGGCCACACTTCCCCATTTGTGACTGCAAACACCTTCATAAAGTTGCACAACAGTTCCAGAAACTGACAAGTAGGAGGTAGGTCAGTGACATTGCTTTGCATCCAGCAACAGCCACCCACCAAAGGTGGAACTTCCTCATTCACGTTCCTTCATACTACAGCTCTGCAGAATTGGGTTACATCAAAACAATTTTTTTTAAAGAACAGCAAAACAAAGCTATCTTTATCCTTCTCACAATTACACATTTATTTGTAATTCTAGAAGGAGATGAGAATGTCAAGCCAGTGATTCCAGCCATGAAAGCCTTCGACAACACATTAGATGATAATAGTTAGTATATATTTATTATATAAGGATTCAATGTTCTGAGTAGTGTTGGCCTACAAGTGGCATCAAAAAGCCTAGTCAGACCACTGTCAGGGGCAGTCAGGATGTATTCCTCTATCAAGCAGGCCAACAATAAACCATAAAATGGGAATGGCAATGTGTCATTGTTGGCTTTTACCACCGTGTGAATCAACAAGATAGGCCCAAGAAGCTCTTTATCATTAAACGACACACAGGATTTGATGGACACAATCTCTTTTCCGTCAAGGTTGGAAAGGGTGATTGGTTTAGGTTTGGTATTTTAAGCAATCACTTATTTAAAGTGGCATGCTGCAGAACAGCAGGAAACCAGACAGGGACAGTTAGAAGAGAATGTGTAACTGCATGTAGGCAATTAAAAGGAGGTGATTTCCCTTGCTATTTCATACGGACATGAAAAACATCTCAATTATAGAGTAGCAACCAGCCATTAAGACGAGGTCTAGAGGCTGCACACACTCTGGACCCTGCCGATTTCTGAGCTGTGCAGAATTCTGGGATTTGCAGTTTAGTGAGGTTGTTAAAGGCTCCTCCCTAAACTACAAACCCCTGAATTCTGCAGGAGGCAGCAACTGGATAAAAGGAGGTTCATTCTTTAGTGTGATGAAGTAGCCAGGAAGCATACAACCCCCTTGCTGAGCCAGCTCTACTGGCTGCTGGTTTGCTACCGAGCACAATTCAAAGTGCTGGCTTTAGCCTATAAATCCCCAAACAGTTTCGGTTCAGATTACCTATTCCTTTATGAGCCAGGTAGAGTACTAAAATCGGTGGGGGAGGTCCTGTTCTTGGTCCTGCCACCATCAGAGGTACGACTGGTAGGAACGAGAGACAGGGCCTTCACGATGGTGGCCCCTCGGCTATGGAACTCCCTCTCCAGTGAGATCAGATCAGCCCCCTCCCTCCTGACATTTAGTAAACTACTAAAAATGCGGATTCCAAGCAAGCATTTGGGGAGTGAGATGAAGCAGCCAAGAGAATTTCGGAATTGGTGCAATGTTGAATGTTCTGTGTTTTATGTTTGTCTATGTCCGATGTTTATAGTTCACTGGTTTTAATTCATTGTTATATGCTGTTTTAGTGATGTGATGTATTTTATATTTTGTGAAGCATTGAACTTCGCCAGTTATTTGTTGTGAACAGCTTTGAGTCCCCCTAGGGGTTGAGAAAATCTGTATGTAAATGAAATAAAATAATAATAAATAAATATTCAGACTTACCATACAACTTTTAGGAAACAGAGTGGAAATGTTACCATTGTCATACTTCCCAACAGATTAAAATTAGATCATATATAACTAAAGAGCACCAGAGATGGTGAAAGTTCTTATTGAGGAAGAACACACAAGATAGGGGTGCATCCACACTGTAGAATTAATGTAGTTTGACTCCACTTTAAATTATGTGGCTCCATTCTATGGAATCATGAGAGTTGTAGTTTTAAAATGTCTTGGGTCCTTCCACACTGCTCCTATATCACAGGATCTGATCCCAGATTCACTTTTTTATCTCAGATTATGTGTCAGTGGAGACTCATATAATCCAGTTTAAAACAGATAACCTGGGATCAGATCCTGGGATATAGAGCAATTTATTTATTTATTTATTTATTGTGTCATCAGCAACCATACCATTGTATTACAATTCTAACAGAACAAAACAAACACACGGATTAAAAAGAAAAAAGAAAAAAACCCCACAGATTTTGCAAACTTGGTAGCTGGTTAAATGTCCTTTGACCAGTATCTGGCCACTTGGAGTGCCTCTGGTGTTGCCGCAAGAAGGTCCTCCATTGTGCATGTGGCAGGGCTCAGGGTGCATTGCAGCAGGTGGTCAGTGGTTTGTTCTTCTCCGCACCCGCATGCCGAGGATTCCACCCGGTAGCCCCATTTCTTAAGATTGGCTCTGCATCTCGTGGTGCCAGAGCGCAGTCTGTTCAGCGCCTTCCAAGTCGCCCAGTCTTCCATGTGCCCAGGGGGGAGTCTCTCATCTGGTATCACCCATGGATTGAGGTGTTGGGTTTGGGCCTGCCACTTTTGGACTCTCGCTTGCTGGACTCTCGCAGCGAGTGTCTCTGTAGATCTAAGAAAACTAAGTCTTGATTTAAGTCGTTGACGTGCTGGTTGATACCAAAACAGGGGATGAGCTGGAGATGTCTCTGCCTTGGTCCTTTCACTATTGGCTGCTACTTCCCGGTGGATGTCAGGTGGTGCAATACCGGCTAAGCAGTGTAATTTCTCCAGTGGTGTGGGGCGCAGACACCCTGTGATAATGCGGCATGTCTCATTAAGAGCCACATCTACTGTTTTAGTGTGGTGAGATGTGTTCCACACTGGGCATGCATACTCAGCAGCAGAGTAGCATAGCGCAAGGGCAGATGTAGAAGGGGCTCTGCCAAAGAGTACTGGTTCCTTGCCAAACTAGGAACCCAAGTAAGTCACAGCTACATCCTAGTTATTGGACTAAATTATCCAAATGATTCTGGCTGTGATTCTAGGGTTGTAAAGCAGACAATACCTTCAACACCCACTTTCCTCTACTTTATCAACAGTAGAGTCTGTCATCTATAAGTCTATGACATAAACTGGAATGCTTTTGTGGAAACACTCAAATTCACATTCATGGCTATTGCATGAATCATGTCCACTGTGATCCTACATCTTACAAATGTAACTTTGACCTCACTGACTTCTGGCTTTGCCAACAGATGTGTCATGACTGACCAGCAAATAATATGCCACTAAAATGTTATCTTTTAGATTTAACAATAGCTTGGATAAAAGCCAGTTTTCTTGAGGATTGGAGCAAATACTGTATGTCTGACTTCTGATAAATGTACGAGTATTTAGTGCACGCCTGTAATATATTAGTAAATTAAACTTGCAGGAAAAACACTTATGACAGCATAAATGCCACAGAACTCAAATGGGATTATGGCTAAATATGCTTTCAAGCTCCGTGTAAGATTGCCTTCTCCAAACATTAATGCCTGTTTTTATCTGCAACCAGAAGTACTACTCCCTCAGATCCAAGTCTGAATTCAAAAGTTCCACAATGGAAAACCCACACAACCCAACATTCCTTCCATGTTGCCAGTTCAGGATCATCTCAGGCTTTGAGGTTTTCGGGTCAGACCCTAAGACCAAGGGATAACGCTGGTTATGTTGATAAGCATGATGCATAAAGTACCAACCACAGTTGCACACAGCTTGCCATTCAAAGAGTGAGATCATGTTTTCCTATTTGGAAATTGAGAGAACGCTTATCTCAAGGGGCTGGTGTCAGTCAGACTGAAGTGAATTGAAGGG